CAAATTATGTATAGTAGGCGACTTTAACATTAGCCAAATTGATTGGATCGACCTTACGGTAACTTAAAATCAGAGGATTTTCTTGAAACAGTTCAGGACTGTTTACTAAGTCAACATATAACCGGGGTGCTGGTGGTAGAGTGGTACCGCTCTTGCCTTCGCAAGCGAGATGTCACGGGTTCGATTCCCGGGCCGGTGGAAGTTGTTTGGACATACTTCCTAGCCCCCATTAGTCCCTGTTCACCTAGCAGTAAAGTAGGTACCTGGTGTAAATCGAAAGTTGCGAATTCGTATTCAGGGACAAGTTGTTGGAGCTTCCAATAACTTGATGACATAAACCATTGACTCTTCAGGCTTCTATGCCCTTGACTCTTCAGGCTTCTACGCCCTTAACTCATGAGACATAAAGGCAAGCTTGAACTTAGCATTCTTCCCTGTTGGGCACTGTAAGCGCTTCTGCGCTTCACCTTACACAAGGATGTAGGGGAGTGCCCAATAAATAATAATAATAAAAAAAAAACCATATAACCGAACCCACACGGGGTAATAATTTACTCGATTTAGTTCTGTTAAACAGAGAAAACCTTATTAGGAATGTCGAGGTAGGGAACGAGCTTGCCAACAGCGATCACAAAGAAATAAGATCTCAATTAGAATTTAATGGCAGACGCAAGGAAAATTCCATTCATGTCCCAGATTTCAGAAGGGCAATCCCTGATAGGTTGAAAAGGCAGCTGAGAGAAGGGGTATCACGTTTGGGGATGGATTACATGACCTCACGTTAGGTGACCTCACACAGTATACCCACAGAGGGCGAGCTCACTTTACATGGAGACCTGACAACAATATCCTCACAAAATATGACGGTTGAGGATGACCTGATCACGAGATCTGAGGTTGACGAGTTCTACAAAAAATTTAATATTGAGTTACTTAATGCATAAAGGCAGAACATACCATACAGAAAACTCAGATCAGACAACACAGACCCTAAATGGATAAACAATTATTTAAAGAATATTATTGGAAAAAGGAAGGCTATGGTAGAAGAATAGAACGTAGTGAAGTTGACCTCCGAGCTTATTATAAGGTATTGGCCAGTAGGGTTAAGATCGAGATAAGAAAAGCAAAGAGGACTAATGAACTGAAGGTAGCAAGGGAGGGGGCGTCAAACCCCAAGGGATTCTATCAAATGTATCAACCTAAAACACACGAAAAAACTGGACCAATCCAGTCAGATTCCGGCGAGCTAACTGATAACGACGGAGAAATGAGCAATAATCTGAATAAATATTTTTCAAAAGTTTTACCACCGAAATTTTGAATATGATGTCCGAAGCACCGACTAAATACATAGTTAGCGAAGAAATAGATTAAGCGAGATTGTAGTGACTGGTAACGACGTTAGATAGCAAATGACAAGTTAAAGCCTAATAAGTCGCCAGGTCCCGATGAGATATTTGCCAGAGTATTTAAGGAATATAAAGAAGAGCTTAGTATGCCCTTAGCAAAATTTTATAAATTGTCCTTAAAAACAGGTATAGTACCAGAATCCTGGAAGATAGCGAATGTAATACCGATTTTCAAAAAGGGAGAAAGATTACTGTCCTCTAACTACCATCCAATCAGTTTAACATCAATTGTATGCAAATTACTGAAAGCAATAATTTCAAACTCTATTCGAAATCACCTGGAGAAGCATAACTTGATCAAAGATTCCAAACATGGCTTCACAGGCGGGCGTTCATGTTTAACTAATCAATAACATTCTTTTCAGCTGTCTTCGAATCAGTGGACGAGGGGCACGGCTATGTTATGGTATATATTGACTTTAGCAAAGCCTTCAACACAGTCCCCCCTGAAAGACTAATAAGAAAAGAGGCTCATGGCATTAGAGGAGATATTCTGAAATGGATTAGTACGTGGTTACAGGACAGAAAAAAAACGAATGAGCGTTAACGGCCCTAAATCCGATTGGAGTAACGTCATAAATGGAGTACCCCAAGGCTCAGTACTTGGACCATTATTATTTATTATATACATAAACGACATAGATATCGGCGTAGACAGTAACATAAGTAAATTTGATGATGACACTAAAATAGGGCGTGTAATTAAATCTGACGAGGTCTCCGCAAAGCTACAGGAAGATCTAAAAAAAAAAAAAAATTCGAATGGTCTGAAAAATGACAGATGAAATTCAATGTGCACAAATGTAAAGTAATTAGTCTAGGAGATGTAAACGGAAAACCCGATATCAGATGAACAACGATATTATCGAGAAATCAGAATGTGAGAAAGATTTACGAGTAATGATAAGTAGGAATCTTAAGCCAAGTAAACAATGTGTATTTGCTCGAAGCAGGGCTAATAAAGTTTTTGGGTTCATACAAAAGAGTATTAGCTACAAAACTAGATAGGTCATCCTTAAACTATATCGTGCGCTTGTGAGACCTCACTTGGATTACGCAGTTCAATTCTGGTCACCGTATTACAGAATGGATATAGAATCCCAAAAAAGAATTCAGAGGAAAATGACAAGACTAATCCCGGGCATTAGGAACCTCGAGTACAGAGACAGATTAAAGCATCTTAATTTGTACTCCCTCGAGAGACGTAGATTGAGGGGCGATATGATAGTGGTGTATAAATGGAAGTCAGGGCTAAGCAAAGGTAACATATCAAAGGTAATCAAACTATCCAACCAGGAGCGAACTCGTAACAATGGTTTTGAATTAGACAAATTTTGATTTAGGGGCGAAATAGGTAAACATTGGTTTGGAAATAGAGTAGTGGATGAATGGAACAAGTTACCAAACTTCATTATTGACTCGAATACGCTGGATAGTTTCAAACATAGGTTAGATGGATATATGAGCAATTGGGGTTGGGTGTAAATGGGACTGACCAGTATGGGCTAATAGGCCATCTGCAGTTTCCTTTATTTTTATGCTCATGTGGGTTCACAATGGAAACTTGGATAAAATAAATCTTGATAAAATAACACAGGAAACAGGGAAACAATGGAGCACCTTAGCTTTCGTCTTTATTCGAGACATCTTCAGAGGCAACTGAATTACAAGGACTGAGAGAGGCTTATGTACCTTACAAAACAAGAGGTCAGGTCCAAAACATGACCTCCACTAATCCACACACCACCACCAACGCAAGCACCGGAGGAGCTTATAAGAAAGGGCGACGTAACTAGTCATGTTTAGTCAGGTCAAAAATATACGAGACCCACTAATCATCTATTCTTCATTTACCTCAAATGCCTTTAAAGCGTTTTTAACCTTGGGCTCATGAAAAATAAAGTTGTGTAACATATCAGTTTTGTACTGACCATCACTAAGGTTTATAGAATTCAGCTAATCAAACTTGCTTCAACCAGAAGTCTTTTTCTGACACATGATGATTTATACACTTTTAAACTGTTTTCCCAATCTATGGGCTATTCTTAATTAACATATAGATAATGACGAGAAGTAGATAATGAAAATTACGATGTTATTTACTTAGACTTAAGCAAAGCGTTTGACAGAGTACTGCATCAGAGGCTTCTGAGAAAAGTTAAGGCTCATGGCATCGAGGGGAAAGTCTTAAATTGGATAAAATCATGGCTCACCGATAGAACACAGATGGTCAGCGTAGATGGTGTTAAATCTGAGTGGGGCTGTGTAACCAGTGGGGTTCCCCATGGGTCATTACTCGGCCCACTCTTGTTTATAATCTACATAAACGATCTAGATACTGGGATCAGCAGTGACATAAGCAAGTTTGCGGATGACACCAAATTTGGGCGCCAGATATATCAAGGCAGGATTGAAATAAACTGCAGGAGTGGTCAGAAATGGCAAATGAAATTCAACACCAGCAAGTGCAGCGCACTTAATATTGGAAGAACAAAAACTGCCAATGTATACAGCCTTAACAACATCAACCTAGAGAAGTCAACTTGTGAAAAAGACTTAGGGGTACTTGTAAGCCCGGACCTACGGCCTAGAAAGCAGTGCGTTAATGTTCGAAATAAGGCAAACAGAGTATTAGGCTTTATATCTAGAAGTGTAAGTAATAAGGGTGCTAGTGAGGCCGCACCTCGATTATGCTGTTGAGTTCTGGTGCCTTTATTATAGAATGGATATCAATTTACTGGAGTTGGTGCAGTGGAGAATGACGGAAATGATGCAGGAACTTAGAAACCTTCCATAATCAGGATAGGTTAAAGAAACTAAACTTGCATTCCCTAGAAAGACGAAAAGTGCGGTGAGATATGATAGAAGTATTTAAGTTGGTGAAAGGATCAATAGAGGCGATATAGATAAAGTTCTTATAATATCTGAGCTGGATAGGACTCGTAGCTACGGATTTAAGTTGGATAAATTTAGGTTTAGGAGGGAGATTGGAAGGAACTGGTTCACAAATAGGGTGGTGGACGAGTGGAACAAGCTTAGCAAATTTTTAGTAAGTGCTGGAACGCTGGAAAGTTTTAAACGAAGGCCAGATAGATTCATGGATGATTGAGAGTGGTAGTAACTCTCGACAGGAACTGCCATGTACAGGCCAACCGGCCTATTGCAGACTCCTTATTTTCTTATGCTCTTATGTTCTAATAGTTGAGTCATACTTAAAAACAATATTAATGTTTAATAAATTAAGGGACTGAACTAACGGGACAAATTCATTGAGAAAGTTAAGGTGCTCCATTGTTTCTCTTTTTCCTGTGTGATTTTATTAATATATATATTTCATTAGCCCAATATATCAGGATTTACATGAAATATATATATATATATATATATATATATATATATATATATATATATATATATATATATATATATATATATATATATATATATATATATATATATATATATATATATATATATATATATATATATATATATATATATATATATATATATATGTATATATATATATATATATATGTATATATATATATAAACCAAAATGTTACTCACCCAACATTGCTTACTGACCTTTCTGGGGGAGGACCCTCCTAAGCCGTGTGCTACTGTGTAGTGGTGGGGTGTGGAGAGATAGGTCGTGGAGGGCCAGGTAAAGGGCGTGGACGGTGTTGCGGAAATTACGGTGGAGGAGGACGTCCTCCACTCCTTCTTTCCCACCCACCACTACCACCCGCATTTCTGGCAGAAACCACATTCTTGCTGTCTCTAATAACCTATATTGAGAAGCGTATGTAATACAGTATAATAACTCTGTTATGTACCAGAGTTTCGTAAATATCGAGAAACAATATTAAAGTGCCTGTTAGTCATAGATGAAAAGTTATGTCGTCATACCTAAACAACTAAAATGATACATTGTTATCATAATCTTCCAGCTTCTTACCAGTATTATTTACCATACAGATACACTGTTCAAAGTCGGTTTCGACAGTATGAAATTGCTATTCGCTTATATCACTGTTATTAATTACAAATGAAAATATAAATGATAACAATTTGCAACGTGATCAGTGATTTTCAAAACAAACTTTGCATGATGTAATAATAAGAAGAGTCCTTGTGAAAAAAAAGGGAAAGACAAAACAGAGACCATGAAGGAGCGGTATGTTAAACTAGCTTGTGTACTGTAGGGACATTATGAGTGTCAGTAAGAGCACAGGATCCCCAGATAATAGTGAGAGTTATTGTATGTATTTGTATCTATCAATCACTTTTCGAACCTTATTTCATTACGTATTGTTATTTTGAGAGGTTCAATGACTTTGTATCCAATATCCATATATAATATATGTTTATTTGTGTAAAACTGAACATGTCTTCTCTTACATTGGTTGGCTTCAGGTACTGACATTTGATACCTCAACATAGTATTCAGTGACATAAGAAAAATGGAACCTCATTTTCATGCTGTAGTAATTATAATCATAATAGGTGAGTCAAATATTATAATGCGATTCCACGGAATTGATATAGATTACGTGAGGTTATAATTTTATATGCATATACCCTGTACAATATCTGCTGTTGGAACAGCGCTGGGAACCTGTTTTTTCTTATTAATTCATCATTCTCTGAAACTGTGAGTCATTGCATCGTTTTATATCAAATGATGTAAATATTTGATCATCTAATTACTTATCGACGTAAGAAATCTTTATAACCTCAGGGAGAGTTGGGTGTTGTTGCTAGTGGTGGTGAAATCAAGGATGAGTGCCCGGCAGGTGGTTCTGGTGTCCCCCCACAGCCCCTGGAGGAGGTTGTCCTGGGTCAGCTGGTCCTGAGACAACACCCACCCTGCCTCCACTACCACGCCAGCCTCCAAACCCACACTCATGTGTCTGAGGAACACATAAGAACATAAGAACAAAAGAACATAAGAAAATAAGGAGTCTGCAATAGGCCGGTTGGCCATTGCATGGCAGCTCCTGTCGAGAGTTACTACCACTCTCTATCATCCATGAATCTATCGGGCCTCCTTTTAAAACTTTCCAGCGTTACAGCACTTACTACAAAGTTGCTAAGCTTGTTCCACTCGTCCACCACCCTATTTGTGAACCAGTTCCTTCCTATCTCCCTCCTAAACCTAAACTTATCCAACTTAAATCCGTTGCTACGAGTCCTATCCTGCTCGAATATTATAAGAACTTTATCTATATCTCCTTTATTGATTCCTTTCACCCACTTAAATACTTCTATCATATCTCACCGCACTCTTCGTCTTTCTAGGGAATGCAAGTTCAGTTTCTTTAACCTATCTTGATATGGAAGGTTTCTAAGTCCCGGAATCATTTTCGTCATTATTCGCTGCACCGACTCCAGTGAATTGATATCCATTCTATAATAAAGGCACCAGAACTGAACCGCATATTCGACGTGCGTCCTGACTAACGCAAGATATAGTTGCAGTAAGACCTCTGCACTCTTATTACTTACACTTCTAGATATAGAACCTAATACTCTGTTTGCCACTAATAAAAAAAAATACTCTGTTTGCCTTATTTCGAACATTAATGCACTATTTTCTAGGCCGTAGATCCGGGCTTACAAGTACCCCTAAGTCTCTTACACAAGTCGACTTCTCCAGGATGATGTTGTTAAGGCTGTATAGTTTATTTTTGTATCCTGCAGGACAGGGTCCTGGGCCAACTGGTTCCGAGAGAACATTAAACTTCTTTCTTTTTATAATCTTAATATCAGCAATCAAACGATCATGATGTCGTGTTAATACACAAAGAAAACGAAGGTATAGTTCACCTGATTATACTGGAGAATATAGGTGAGTGTTGTGTAGTGGTGATGAGCACCAGGTGACAGCCGGTGAGATGGTGCTCCACCACCTGACCCACCATCACGCCCACATCCACGCCCACCTGCTTCAAGGGTTCACCCACGTTCTGACTAATTACAGGTCCAGCGATCACAACCATGGCAACAACCACCAATACAGATTCATACACGATTGCTACCATTCTCTCCTGAAATAACATGTCCCGAAAGTCTTAGTTATACTGTATAACACCGCTTTACATTAAAGAATATTATGTAACCTGTTATACTTTTTAAATGTGTCTATTATAATAATAAATAGAATATATATTATGTTGTTCTGTAACATCAGGTTTGGATTTTATGGACGTGGTAAGAATTAGAACTATACACTTATTCTGTGTCAGGACTGTCAATAGGCCTAGAGAGTGCGTCAACTTACCGGATAAGTTTTGTTACATATGTGGAAGGTTTACCACAGTGGATACAAGATGCAGCATAACCTCATATGTCAAACAGCTGCATCATGCGTATTTTGGCTGCAAGCTAAGAGGTCAAGACAAACCTTTTGCTCTTCATATTGCATGCCAATCCTGTGTGTCAAAGCTTCGCAGGTGGTCCTTTGGGAAAACTCAAAAGTCTGCCATTTCGAGTCACAATGGTTTGGCGGGAGCAGCAGTATCATTATGACAATTGGTATTTCTGCCTGACGAGCATCAAAGGCTTCAACAAGAGAATCAAGGCTAGAATTATGAATCCGAATTTGAAGTATTTGAATTTTGCCAACAGACGGATCCCACACAGTGCTGAGGTACCAATTCCAGTTCCTTTGGCGACCTCTGAGTGCTCCTCTGAGTCCGAAATGGAAGAAGGCAGTGTGTATGGAAAGCTGTAGGCATATCAACCAAGGGAAGACGAAACTCCAGGGCCACTGAGTCAGACCGAACAGAATGATCTCACTAGAGATCTCAATCTGCTGAAAGAATCCGCCCAACTACTGGGGTTGAGATTAAAGGAGACGAACCTGCTAGCAAAGGGCACAACATATACCTGGTACCGCCATCGAGAGAAGGAATTTCTGGAACTTTTTTGAGAAAGAAGGTTCTTTGGTTTTCTGCAGTAATATCAAAGGCTTGATCGAGCACCTGGGAACGACATACACAGCAGGTGAGTAGTGGTTGTTTATAGATTCTTCGAAGATGAGCCAAAAAGCAGTACTGCTGCGTAACGGACCTTCAGTTGCCTCCATCCCTGTGGGACCCTCCGTGTAAATGCCTGAGACATATGAAAATATAGAAATCTTAATAAGAGCGCTTAAATATCATCAACACATCTGACTGATCTGTACAGATCTACGAGTCATTGCTCTTCTGCTTGGTCTTCAAGGCGTCTAAGCCAAGTACCCATGTTTCTCGTCCCTCTGGAACAGCACTTTGTTCAGAAGGATTGGCCGCCTAGACTGCAGTTTTTGCCATGAACTAGAAATGCCCTAATAGTTCTCTTAATTGGTACGAAAAAGGTTGTTACCGCCACTACACATCAAGCTAGGTCTTATGAAGAACTTCGTTAAAGCCCTCAACAGGGAAAATGAGTCTTTCAAGTACCTAGCCAGGAAATTCTCACAGATCAATGAAGGGAAGTTGAAATCTGGAGTTTTTGTGGGACCACAAATTCGTGACCTTTTCAAAGACTACTTTTGAGAGCAATATGAATGACATGGAGTTGAAAGCTTGGCTTGCTTTCGAGGCTGTTATCCAGAAATTGTTGGGAAACTTTCGATTTCCAGAATACAAACAGCTAGTTCAGAATATGATAGACGGTCTTCATGATCTAGGCTGTCGCATGAGTATGAAAATGCTCTTTTTGAACTCCCACTTTGAGTATTTTCCTGATAACTGTGGGACATACAGTGAAGAGCAAGGTGGGCGGTTTTACCAGGACATTGCCATAACGGAGCAGATATACCAAGGGCAATGGGACGTCAGCATGATGGCTGACTACCGCTGGTGCTTGAAACGTAATGAACCGTACGCAGCAAATATTCGAAAATCAAACAGGCAGCAATTCTATACATCCAATTGACTCTCAGCTCATGCATTTTAAGTCAGAGTACATTTTAATATGCCACCTCAATTATAAAACATGAAATGCTACATTGTTCTATGTTCCCCAAATACAGAACTTTCTTCAAATACACTATCTGCCTAAAGATTTAATGTGATTTTTTTTAAAGAAAACCAAATGTGATAGGCAAAATCTACTTACATATTCTGGAAGATCATCCAAAAATTGTTAAAGTAACATATTTTCCTTTAGAAAAAATAAAAATGTTTGATTATAGACCAGTGTAATACACGTACCTATTACATAACCACAGTGATCATGGATTTAAATTTTCCAGGCAAGTTTTCTAATCCCTTAAACTTTTCTCTGAAAAGTTGGATGTGTGAGTGTGTGTGTGTGTGTGTGTGTGTGTGTTTGTGTTAAAGAAATAATTATGAAGAAAGTAGGTTAAGTTGTATTTGGTATGCAATAATGTTCCCGAAACAAGTAGTTCTTTATCACGTATAGATTAATTTCGATTAAGTCAAGCCACATTAAATCTGATATCTAGAATACTATTTGTTGACTTAATTTGCCGAAAGGCAAAGATAAATTTTTACAGATCATGTCAATTTAGTATCCACTTAGAAGTAATTTTCTTGAAACTTATGCTATCTCATATTACCCATGAAAAGGATCCACACACACACACACATTTATATATATATATATATATCCTTTACATAGAGTTGTGAACAAAATATATCAGGGATGTAAGATACAGGAAGTTAAAATAAAACTAGACACAAATATAGCTTATTTAATATCAGCGTCATCATCACTCTACAACACCTAATTATTATTTCTCATGCAACACGTGGCTTTATAAGACAATGTTTGATCTGTACAGGTACGTAATTCTCTCTGGGTGTGTTAATATCTCACAGGTTTCCAGACACTGTATGGAGGGATGATATACCTAATATTTACCTGGTTGGTACATAAGTTTATTTGCTCTGTTTTCCTCATTATAAGTTTTCATCACGAAGTCATAAGTACAGGGCAATACGCTTCTTATCAAACTTTTCTGATATATACCATCTGCTGGAGGTGAGTTACAGTACAGTGGCAGAGTGCGAAAAAATATATTTTTCTCTGAATATGTATGTGATGGTTCATTAGTTTTACCATCCTGGTAGAACTCCCACATGGAAACGCGACGTCTTCCTCGGTTAGGTTTATCTGCCACCGTGCCATCCCTCTGCCACCGCCGTATCCACCTGTAAACTGTGGACACGCTGGTCATGGTCTCCAGGGATATATCCCGAGCTGACATGCCATACAGAGATAGCCACACGATCCTGGCGCGGATGGTCATCATCATCGCTTTGTCTGCAGGTCTCTTCTTCATTTGTTTGGATCTGTCAAATATAGATGATAAATATGGTAACTTCGAAATTACTTAGTAATGTTTTCACGTAATATATTACAATACGGAAGAAATAAAATAAACTTAATAATTGTCTACTGTATAACAGTCCTCATATGCATTAGAGAAAATTATATTGTTCATGTATAAGCAATCGCAGATTTGTTTAATATTAGTAATTTTTACTTGACTAGACTCTCTTAGAGGCCATGAACGCTTGTTGGACGGCATAATGAGGACGTGTCCTCCTCATGTACTAGCTATCCCATCAGCTTTGTTTTACCCCTGCATGGCCTCTGTAGCACCGTAAAGTATTTCGTAAATAATTAGCTACGTGGAATTCCTTCTGTCAGTGCCCCAAAAAGGGGCTTTACTGGAGTGGTGATTTAGCTAGTCTACACGGTTGGTTTCCCTGCTCCTGCACACTGAGGACTTTTGTTTAAAAGCCGCATACTAGAGGTTAATCCTTGAGTGAGCAAACAAACCCGGAAAGTGTCCGACTGCCGCCTTTTGCTGGCCCTACGCTAACCAATCATTCACACTCCATCAATAAATCATATTTTCTGTCACTGTCTAAGCTACTTTAATATGAGGAGGCAACACAAACTGCCATGATCAAGGCTGGAGGGTCTCTTCACCACAGGCAGCCTGGCAGATAATGACCGAGTCACCAATGCACTGCTAAAATTCCTTAAAGAGACCCAAGTGGTCAAACTGTGGTTAGGTAGGCTGGATACCCTAATGTTTGACCATTAATATAATTTAAATAAATTACCATTTTATAATATATAAAACGTCCATTGGAATTCTGCATTTCAATAAATTAAAATGCAGAATTCATATTTCAGTTTAATCCTATCATTGTATTGTACACAACTCACCCGCGTTGCACTATGTCAGTCTTATCATTAAAAACACTCACCTTTCATATCACCCATTCAGAGCATTGACTTAAAAAACAAAACAAATATAATACCCCAAAAAGTCAAAATAGTTTTTCCTGGTTAATAATAGGGAGAAGTCGGTTTGATTTTTTAGGGCATATTGCGGCTAATACAGTGACATTTTATAGGATTTCAGTTCATAGGAAACATTTCTCGATTTTTATTGAGTTTAAATGTGAAGAAATTAAGAATAAGAATAAAGAATGAACTCCAATGTGATTCTTTTTTAAACCTTCAGTGGTTTTTAACTTATCTTCAATGGTTGCAGAAAAAAATATAATTCCTATATTGTCTGTTTCCATGGTAAAATGATGGACTAGTTTGTCACATAATATTTCGTGGTATCATGGAATATGGGTCAATAGGAATATAAATGCTACCAAAGTTTCCTCTTTCATTCTCCAAGAAACAGCTGCTTCGACTTTGGAATTCGTTTCACAATTTTTGAAGCAATTTTTAGTTTCGTTCGGAAAACATACATATTCAGCTATGGGCCGTCAAAGAAATTGACCCCTATTCCACCCCATAACATCCAAGTAAGCCCCATGGAGGTACTGGCGCAGATAAAGCTTGTTATAAAAAAACGTTGTACTTGTGGTGTACATACAGCAGTAATGTCTAATTATGGAACCTACTGTAGTCCCCTCCTTGAACATGATATTACTCACGAGTCGCCACTCTCCATATATCTCTCCTTGGTAGCTGCACCAGCTTTAATCTTTCGTGTTATGGCTATCCGACTTGTCCTTGGCATGGTAATGGCTATTGTGCAAGAGAAACGTACAAGACAGCA